GCTTCACAAGCAGTTAGACGAACTCCTTGAGAAAGGTTGGATCAGGCCCAATTGGTCTCCTTTTGGAGCACCCGTTTTGTTTGTCCCCAAGAAGGAAGGAGAGCTGAGAATGTGTATAGACTATAGGGGTTTAAATGCGATCACCGTGAAGAATGCTGAGCCGCTGCCCAGGATAGACGATCTTTTAGATCGGGTGCAGGGTTGTAAGTATTTCTCTAAGATAGACTTAAAGTCCGGATACCATCAGATAGCGGTTCATCCTGATGATCAGTACAAGACTGCGTTCCGAACTAGATATGGGCATTATGAGTTTATAGTGATGCCCTTCGGACTAACCAACGCGCCAGCTACTTTTCAGCGTTGTATGAATGACCTGTTTAGACCATGGTTAGATAAATTTGTAGTAGTCTACTTAGATGATATCCTAGTCCGTAGTAAGACCCTCCAAGGGCACAAGGTCATCTGAGGCAGGTCTTGGAGAAGCTTAGAGAGGCTAACTTCAAGATCAACGCGAAGAAGTGCGAGTGGGCTAAGACGCAAGTCTTATACTTGGGCCACATGTTGGACGGAGATGGCATTAAGCCCGAGGACAGCAAGATCGCGGCAATCAGAGATTGGTCGACGCCCCGCACATTGACAGAGTTGCGGTCGTTCCTAGGCTTAGCTAACTACTATAGGAAGTTCGTGAGTTACTTCTCCACTATCGCCGCTCCCTTGCGCCGATTGCTGAAGAAAGAGGCAATCTGGCAATGGGACAAAGACTGTACGTTTGCGCTCAAGAAGCTAAAGCGCGCGTTAATAGAGTATCCTGTCCTCAAAGTTGCAGATCCGTCTTTGCCATTCGTCGCCACCACTGACGCGGGTCAGTATGGGATAGGCGCCGTGTTGCAGCAAGACGACGGCAATGGCTATAGACCCGTAGAGGTCATGTCAGCGAGGATGCCCTGTGAGAAGGTTGCTGCCTCCACGTACGAAAGAGAATTCTACGCTCTCAGGCAGGATTTAGATCATTGGAAGCACTACCTGCTTGGGAGGCACTTCAAAGTGTATTCGGACCACGAAACGCTTAGATGGTTAAAGACTCATGCCAAGATGACACCTAAGTTGACTAGGTGGGCCGCAGAGATAGACCAATTCGACTTTGAGCTCAAGCCAGTGAAGGGCAAGTACAACGTAGTTGCGGATGCTCTTAGTAGGAGATCAGACTACTTTGGAGCTGTAGTACACTATCTGGATATAGGGAGAGACCTGCAGGAGAAAGTGAGGCAAGCATATGCGCAGGACCCTATCTATAGCGACCTCCTAAAGAGAGTTAGAGAGGCCCCAGAGACTGAACCAGACTACCGCACTACAGACGGGTTGCTGTTTGAGAAGACTAATGTGTTTGACCGCCTGTGCGTTCCCAACAGCGAACAGATCCGCAGTTTGATTTTAGGGGTATGCCACGATACTGAAGGACATTTCGGTTGACAAAAGACGTTAGCCAACCTGATGCGTGCGTATACCTGGCCAGGGATGAAGAATGACTGCATAGAGTATGTCCGCAGTTGTAAAGTGTGCCAGAGGAATAAGTCTACTACACGCGCGCCCCTAGGTCTTCTCAGACCCTTGCCTATTCCGGATCAGCCGGGAGACTCCGTGTCCATAGACTTCATGGACACCCAAGTCAAGAGTAGACATGGTAAGAGCCAAGTCATGGTCGTAGTTGACCGTTTTAGTAAATATGCAGTTTTTCGTCCCTTTGCCTGCAGAGGCACGTACGGACTTAGTTATACAAAAGTTTTTTGACTTTTGGGTTAGTGAGAATGGAATCCCAGTGTCGATAGTTAGTGATAGAGACAGTCGTTTCACCAGCCAGAACTGGCAAGAACTCATGAGAGTC